AGTTATACATGTCTTCAGCCAATTTCCCCAATCTTCTCCCATCCCACCTTTCACCCCAGTGATGTGCCATCTTATTCTGTTCAAGACCTTTTCTTGAAAAGTGCAAGCTCTTTAATGAGTTTGTCACTTTAGACAAACTGGTAAGCATAAAACATTAAATAAGTGTCTTAATGACGGAAAGAGAGATGTTGAAGTGATTATACGTGGTATGCATAAAGGTCAATATTGGTTGCATGAGAAATAAATACAAAAATGCAGTCTAGATTCCAAACTTTAACTGAGTTTTTGAATCAAACAGTTTTTCTCTTCCCATTGGATGTTCCGGGTAGTTTACAGTTCTTAAAACTCAGGTTGAATTCCTTTCTGAGCCTGGGGCCAATTTTCTCAGTTTGAAGTCATCATCTTCCAAGTATTGAGATGAGGGATAAGAGAGATAAAATGATGATCCTCATTTATACTTTCTCTGCAGTTGCTAGGAAGATCCCTGATATGTGGATATATTGTGTGTGGTGGGGTGTCTGTTAGGTAGCTCCCACTGTGTTCATGCCTTCTCTGAGGAATCTCTGGGAGAATAGATTATTCTTGATGTGCCTTTAACATAGGCCTTGCTGTTCCTGATAAATCTGTTTAGTCAGTGTTGCCTCTCTGTTGCCAACAAAAGGCTAGCTGTTGGCATTTCCCACTAACCACATAATTGAGAAACAATCATAGAGCAATGCTTCCTAACTTCACATACAGCGATAGTGCATACAATTTAACCGGATATTGTTCAACAAACCAAGACTTCTTAAATGATCTTGCAAGACATGCATGATTCAAAACTTATCATACCTCAGAGGTGAGTATGGGGGTCCCAGGATGCTATTTTGAGATACAGAAGCAAAATACTGCTAACCTATGCAAGCAAGTGGATTTTGTTCATTCCAATCATGATGTAAGAACGCGGAGAGAACTAATGGCTGACACAGGAGATTCTGTAGAGAAACTTGAACAGACAGGTTTGGGAAGAGCTGAATTTAAGTGTGCCATGTTAAGTTTCAAGCCAAAGTCTTGGAAAGGGGGAGTTTGGACAGTTGATTGTGTACTGAGAGTGGGTTTGTCTGTTCAAAACAGGATAGACACTGCACCTCTTTCCAAATAATGACCACCGCCTCTTATCTTAGCCTGTGAGCTCTCTCCCTCATTCCTGCCCATTTTGCCAAAGGAACTAGTTATTTGTATAATTTGTAAGAGCTACAGAAAGGAAACTCACACAGCAAAACGGTGTTTAATGAGTTCAGGTTACTGAAGGACGTACTCCACGTAACCGAAATCTTGAAACTAGAATAAGTAGTTAAATCTTCAACACTCTTTGCCTCCTTTGTTGCCTGCAGGGTGGTGTTCAGTACGTCTCAGCACTCAATAAGGCAGTCCCTTCCTTCTCAAACTGATGACAGATCAATATATGCCTCCAACTTAATCAAGCTTTTGTTCTTAAAAATCTTAACAGAGTAAGGGTATGTCTACACTACAGCATTATTTCAAAATAGTTAATTTTAAATAGCTTATTTCGAAATAACGCATCTACACACAAAATGCATTTCGAAATAGCGTTTTGCTATTTCGAAATAGCACGTCCACACTGAGTGGATGCTGAATCGCATTTAAGGCTGGCAGGGCATCAGGTCAGGATTTACTTTGTGTGGCTGCTGCCTGAGGCTATCCGAGGCCTGTGCTTAAAGGGACACCCCCCCCCCCCCCCGGACAGCCAGTTCTCAGGTTTTCCTGCTTGCTTGCCTACCTCAATGAGGGACAGCAAAGCATTTTGTCTGTGTGTGCTCTGGTTGCCCTCACTCAGGACACCACAGCACTCTGCAACATAGAGCCGGAGCTGGCCCTGAGCATTCTGGTGCTTCTCTTGGATGCGTTGCTGTGAGCCTGGCTGCACTTTCTGCAGGCTGCCATCCGGGACGTCTATCGGGGGTCCATCCTGTCTATCCAGGAGGCCCTGTGGGGAGAGCTTCCACTCTGAGGAGCCCTAACAATCTCCCTGGTCTGCCCCACTGGGGGCTTGTGCCTCATTCCTCCCTCACGTCCTTCCACTTACTCCCGCCAGCCCCCCATCCTGATGTAAAATAAAATACACATTTTTTCATAAACACAAACTATCTCTAACAAAACTGAGGGGTGGGAATGAAACTCTGGTGAAACTGGGGAAAGGGGGGAGGGGAGAGGGAAACCTGAGGAAGGAGCTTGGAAGGAGGAAGCAGGGAGGAGGGTCCTGGAAGGGGGAAGCAAGCAGAAGAAGAGGGAGGGGAAGCTCAGTGCTCAGGGTTGGGGATGTCACCGGACCAACTTGATTTTCATGCGAACCTGCTCCTAGGTTCGCATGTGGCCTTTAGTGGGCAGGCTGGCAGCTATCCTGCCATAGACGTCCACCTTCCTCCATCTAGTGCAGAGATCATGGATGTTGGGGACATTTCTTCTCCCCTCCCACCCCCCCAAACCTGATTAAGGTCCATGATCTCTGCCCTGGACCAGGAAGGCGCCCGCCTTCTCCAGGCCCTGGCAGGCTTCTGGGAGCTGGCAGAGGGCTGGCTGCCAGTGTCCTTCTGGCTCATGTTTTGGGGCCACTGGGTCAGGGGCACAGTGACTGCTGGCTCTGGGCTGGCAGGCTTGGAGCTGGCACAGGCACTGTGGCCAGAGTCTACCCCTTTAAGGTCTCCAGAGAGGGAGGAGGGAGAGGAGTGTTCTTGGCTGAGGCTGGAGTGGCCACCAGGGCACCCGGGGAAGGCTGGAGGCCCCCTATTTTGAAATAAGTGTCTACACAGCACTTATTTAGAAATAGCTATTTCGAATTTGGCATTATTCCTCGTGGAAGGAGGTTTACCAAATTCGAAATAAGCCCTCCGCTATTTCAAATTCATTTCGAAATAGCAGTTTGGCTGTGTAGACGCTAGGAAATTATTTCGAAATAAGGGCTGTTATTTCAAAATAACTTTGCTGTGTAGACATACCCAAAGAGAGTTATGCAAAGACATTTCCTGACATGAGCTGCAAAAGAGGAACTAATGTTCTTTG